GGGGAAATGGGGAGAGTGAGAATAGAGCGATGGAGAAGGGCAAGCGGACGACATCTCATCCCGACGCCGTCGGCGGCCTGGCGCGCGGAGCATGCCGCGCTTGTGCGGCGGCTGGATGAGTGGCGGCGGAGTTTGCTGGAGCTGGGCGACGCACCGCCGCCGCCGCCGCTGCCTGCAGGGGAAGGGGAAGTGGAAGGCGAGGAGGAGGAGCCGTCCAGCCTGAGCCGGATGTTGGCTGGGTGTCGCGCGCTGGTGGCGGGGATGCTGGCCGAGCTGGAGGTGATGGAGCAGATGGAGCGGGAGGCGGTGGCGGATGAGATGGCGTGGGTGAGGGAGATGAATCGGGGGTCGGGCGGCGTGGAGGAGGGAGCGCCGAGGGCTGGGGCGATGTGGAGGGTTTTGTGAGGGGTGATGGACAGGCTAATTGTAGGGCATGTGTAGGGGGTTGATGGGGGTGGGAAGATGATTGTATAGAATAGGAGGGGTTGGCATCGGTGGGTATGATGATAATGGGGCAAGGTACGGCAGACGTATCTTGTTTATCATGTTTAGGCACGGGCAGATACCATTGTTTAACACGCAAGATTGTTTCAGTTCTACCTGACAGATTTTACCACCCGCAGAGAAACAAACACACAAAAACACAGAGTTCGCTGAGACTTTGAATTCCAGAGTGAAGAGCAAACTAGAAACACCCAAAGCCCGGTAATGTACATAACCAGATCCATACAATCATGTGGCTGAAAGAGCCGTGAAGCCATAGAAAATCGAATGCGCCCCAAAGTAACCGGTCATTGATAACGGGGCTGTAAAAGCGACGGAAATCATTATAACCTCGCTCATCCCACTAGCCCAGAACACTAGTAGCTAGTCGAATGAGGAAGGCCCCAGCTGCTACATGACAGACTGGAGGATAAGAGGTATTGTGCGAAACAGAAAACAAAACAAAGCGAAATGCGTAAAATTCTTGAGGCACGAGGCCCGAACTCTAACTACACCCCTTGTCAGAACATCGGCGCGCTTCTCACCCAGTCTACTGCATGGGAGGCAGCGAGGGGTAGCTGACGCGGTCGCGGCTGCGGTCGACGCTGCGGTCGACGAGCATGGGATCGATGCGGCTGTTGTCGACGCGGCCGTCATCGGAGCCCTCCTCGTACTCGCGGCGCTCAAGGCGGTTGCGCACGTAGCCGCGGAGGAACTCGACCGCGCGCACGTTGTGCAGCCAATCATCGTACGACTCGTTCTCCCCGGCCTCGGACTCCTCGGAAGGCGAGCTTACGGCGGCGCCGTCGGGCCCCTTGCCAGTGGGGGTGCGGTCGCCATCGCGGCGGGCGCCGGCAGCGCTCTGGAGCATGCCACCGGAGAGACGGCGCTCATTGTGGGCAAAGGTCGAACCGAGACCGGCGGCCGACGGATACGGCAGGTTCGGGCGGCTCGGAAGACTTGGGTACGAGACCGAAGTCGAGCTGTGGCGAGAAGACGGGGACAGGCCGACGGAAGAAGCGGTGGGCGAGTGGCCGGACGTGTACGACATGTTGCTCGACGGCGGGGTAACGGCAGGTGTGCCACCAGCCGAGTGGGTCGGCGCGCTAAGAGGAGACATGACTTGGGCAGCCGTGACAGCGTAGCCCTCGACGGCCGGGCGAGTCGCATATGTGGGGGAGTGGCGCATGTCAACGGGCGCGTAGTGCGTGTTTGGCGAACCAGAGTTGTCGTAGATGGTCGACTGCATCTGTTCGAGCATGTGGTCGATCTGCTGAAGGTCCTCCTTGGTACGGAGGTTGGGCATGGGCGGCAGGTAGTAGTGCTGCGCCAGCGGGCCGTTCGCAGCGCCGCCAACACCACCTAGGGTATGGGGAGCCTGCGGCATGTACTCTGTGGCCAGACCACCACCGGCAGGCATGCCGAGGGAGGAGTGAACGGGCATCAGCGAGCGGCCAATCTGAGCATACGAGCGCGGGTCAATCTGCGCGCGCTTCATGTTTCCGAAGAACTCGTTCAGGCTCTCTGCGTCACGCTTCCGCGCGGCCTCGTTAAAGCCGGCGGCCTGGTGGCCGATGTAGTCGGCACGGGAGCCGCCCATTGGGTGCTGGTAGTACATCGGGGCGTGGTACGTCGGCTGGGGCGCCTGCTGCTGCTGGCCGTAGTAACTAGCCTGTCCATTCTGGTGGGGGTGAGCAAAGTGCGCCGGGTTGTTGCCGCGCATGTGGCCGTTGTGATCATAGAAGGCGGAAGGGGCTGGAAAAAGGATTAGCCTCTGGATCTCGAGAGGGTAGGCTGAATCAAGGAGAAATACATACGCTTCGTGCCCGGGTGAGGACGGTAGCTCGGGTTCATGGCGCCCGACTGGTCTTGGGGGTTGCGGCCCGGGACAAGAACCGAATCATCGGCATGGGTCTTGACATGCTTCTTGAGATCCTGGGGACGCTTAAACGACTTCCCACAGAAATCGCACTTATGCGGCTTGAGAGGCACATGAACCCGAATGTGCGAAGTGATGTGGTCGCGCTTGACAGTTGTGGTGCGGCATTGGTTCCACTGGCAAGTCAAGTTCAGGTTGTTGGTGCTCTTGCGGCCAACATGCTTCTCGCAAATGTGTTCCTGAAGAGGTGTCAGCGACCCGGCGCATTTAATTAGAATTTAATTGGCTTTTTTTTTTTTGCGACAATTTTTCAATGCCTTTCTTTCCACTTACATAGAGGGCCTCGGCAGAGGTAAAGGGCTCCTTGCAGGCGCCCCAGTGGCAGACCAGGTTGTCATCTGGGCCTGCGCTGGACGAAGAGCTCGCGGTCGCTCCGGTCGAGGGCGCCGGGGTATTATCGTTGGACGCGGGATTCGAGGTTCCCGGAGCCGGAGCTGCAGGGGCCGGAGCGGCATTGGTACCCTCCTGGGCCGGAGCCTGAGTGGGGGGTGAAATCGCCGACATGATTCGAGCCCGATCGCTGAGTTCTTGGCGAAGTGCTTGGTGCGTGCGAATGTGTGATTGTAGTGAATTTATTCCGTTCCGAAGGTCACGTGGTGTGGTTCAGAAAAACCCTATGTGGCCCACTTTTTACCAAGAACGCCCAGAGTTGAAAGACTGCTTGCAGCAAGGGCGCCAAGGCCAAGAGAGTCGACAGTGCAGCGCTGAACAAGAAAGATGCCAAGGACGTCGAAAGATCGGAACAAAACAAAGTGCAGAAAAAACGTCCCAACTTTGGTGTGTAAACTGGTGTCTTGAGCTCGTTATTCTGGTGATGCAAAGGGGAAAATCGGATCAACATTTCAGTTCAGCAGAACAGCGGGCCGTTCTGTCTTTATTACGCATTCTCTCTCATGGCAGTAACATTGGCGAATGTCTTGGCAGGTGCTTGGCAGCCTGGGCCTCGGATGCCAAGCAAGTCTCATTGGCTGGTGGAGGGGTTCTCGGGCCGCCCAGGGTACTGATTGATGGAAAGGGAGGGTGCAGACAAGCAGCTTCCCGCCTGTATGACGCCTCGACCTAACAGAGCGACTTGGTCGCCAAGGTATGCCAAGGAGCCGCCGAGTCAGAGCCAAGGCTTGGTATTTGTAGGAGACGTCTTGGCGGCGCTCCTTGGCCCCCCGTCGCCCTTGCCTCTTGGTCACACGCTTTGCCCAGCCTGCCCAGAAATGCCCAGGCTGCTCATGCGGACCCTCATCCACGCTCCACTGTGTGCTTGCTTGACCAAATCGAGAGATTCCTCGGCCCACCAAGAGCGGGTTTGGGTTCTTTCTGTTGTTGGTCTGTTTCCACTCAATGGGTCGCGTCGGGGCCTGTCGGGCATCCATTCCCCTCTTAAAAAAAAAAAAAAAAAAGGAAGAAAATTCATCAGAGAAGCAAATGGAGGCAAGAAGGACCTGGCCCGGTCAAGGAAGGCGCCACTTCCAGGTGCCGTTTACAAGTTTGATTTGACTGACGTGGACTCGGAGGGCAAACAAAATCGACCCGCCAACTCGTCTTTCAAACGCGACAAAGCTTACCCGTGTGAGGCTCGCGAATTCGCAACTGATGCCAAGCTTTGCCAGCCGGGCCAAGAGATCAACCCTCCGCGTGCCAAGTGCTTGGCGACCCGTCTTCCCCGATTCCCGTTTGTCCCTTCAGCGAATACCATCAGCTTGGGTCGAACACAGCCCCTTTTCGCTTGGAACCTTCATTTCAGCGCCGGTTGAACAATCCCGCTGAGCAGGAGGGCGGGGAGCCAAGACTGTCAGCCCATCACTCCCGCCCAGCTTCGGCGGCTCGAGGGGTGGCGCGATGGGCGATGCGAGTCAAGCCCGACAAATAACACGTGGTTGGACGTTGAACCCGTCTCTCCCATCTTGTATCTTTTGGAACATTCCTTGCCTTGCTTGCTTATCAAAAGCTACCTTCACGAGCTCCATACTCCAGACCTACATGATTTACACAGCAGCACACAGGATGGCCAATGAGCCGGCTCGCCAGCCGCCTGTTGCTTGCCACCGCTGGTCATCGGGTGGCGCGACTCATGGTTCGTTCAGACAGCAATTGGGACAATGTCGATTTCACTTATTAATGCAGATGCCGAGATCATCCGCGGGATCCATGACATGATGTGATACCGAACATCCAGCAGAGAGAACCCCCACCGTCAAACCCCTCCTTTGACCCACCATTACAACAGCTTTGCCTGCCAAGCACGCTGACACGTGAATATCTTGGGAAAGGGGGTTACCGTGTCAGCACACCGAAACGAGGGAGGATTCAGGGGTTTTCCAGAATAGTCATACTGTGCATCTCGATCCCGTTGCCTAGAAAGCAAGTTGCATCTGCCTTGCCGCAAGGTGGTCGCTGCCTCCTGTTGTCATCATCATCTTCCGATTTGAACGCACGGCGCGGAGAGACACTCCCGGCTTCTTCATCTCGTCTGGGTAAGCCACTATCAACGACAGCCCTCACCTCAATCTTGGCGGTCTCTTGGTCCCTCTTGGCCCCTTCTTGGCCGCTCTTGGCCGCTCTTGGCCTGACCTTGGCGGGCGGTCTGGGCCAAGAACCACCGAGCTTCCCCCAGGTTTCTTGGCCCCTTGGCCCGTTTCCGGCTGCCGTTGCCCAGGAACAAATGGAACTTGAACTCCGGGCTCCCAAGAAAATCCCAAGAACTCCCAAGAAATCCCCAAGACCCAAAGGAGCGGGAGGGCCTTGGCGCCGGCGACAGGAACAAGCTCCTGTTGTGTCGTCATAGCTTGCTTGGTATTCGTACGGGGAAGCTTAACGTTGGCATTGCGGAGAAACAAACATAACACAATAACTAGCGGCTTGGGCCAAGTACACAATAGGTAGCGAGGTAGACTTGGTTACAAGCAAATACGGGGACTTTGCGGCTTGGGGCGATATCTAGCAGCCCCTCTGAAGAAGTAGGTATATATTCAGAGTTATCAGACAGAAAGAAAGCCACGAGTTTCTCTGCAATTTTAGCTTTTACACTCGAAATGCATTCAGAACTAGACTTTCTTATTAGCGTATTTAAATAAGAAACCAAGAAACCCTTATTAGCATATTTAAATAAGAAACCCTTCTTGTCCGGCTTGCTTTCTCCAGCATTCCATTTGGCACATTCCACAATTCCCAGCAGGAGGCATCTTTCACCCACAATGCAGCAGCTGGCTTGCTTACCCGGACAGAAAACAAACAGACAGAGAGAACGGGAGCCGTTGTTGACAGATAGAGAGAGATCAAGCAGGCCATACATTCATCACAACATCACCATGCAAAAAAACTAGGGTACCTTAACCAACCCCAACAACACCAGAACCCCCCCTCCGCCCCCCTCCCCTCTCCCACGCCACCTTTCCTAAGCGTACTTCCTAAGCATACTCCAACTCCTCATTAATCCTCGAATTACACAGACACCTACATTCGGGCACGGGACACTCGCGATGCCGCGCAAACCACTCCCGCGCATGATCCAGATGCAGCACATGGCCACAGGCCACACAGAACGTCGGAAACCGCGCAGTGCGACGCCGCGCCTCAGCATCACTCCCACTCCCACTCCCACTCCCACTCCCACCGCTCCCACCCGCACCAACAGCACTGCGCGACATGCCCACCACCTCCAGACACACCACACACCGCGGCAGGTGCTGCTTGCAGCTGGGGCAGCTGATGCCGCTGGCGACCATCTTCTCGGTGTAGGGGTTGGCCTGCTGCTGGTGGGCGCGGGCTTCGGTGCGCGGGGTCGGGGCCGGGGTGGAGGTCGGGGTGGGGACGGCGGTGGTGGTGCCGGTGGTGGTAGTGCCGCCATTGCCGGTGCCGGTGGGGGTGGGCTTGAAGCCGCCCATGCCCATTCCGCTGCTGCCGGTTCGGAGGGGGGGTGGAATGGCAGTGGAGGAGGTGGTGGTGGTGGTGGTGGCGGTGGCGGTGTGGGGCGGGGAAAGGGCTTCGGCTTTGAACTCGGCGTCGCAGTAGACGCAGCGCAGGCCGATCTGGCGGGAGGGCGGGGGCACGGTGGGGCGGCCGTGGTGCTTGCTGCGGAGGGTGGACTCGACGTCGAACTTGGCGCGGAAGAAGAAGGCGCGGTGGCGCTGGAGGTAGTGGCGGTAGGCGTTGCGCATGGCCGTGGCGCGGATGTCGTCGATGAAGCGCGGCGCGCAGGTGGAGAGGAGGAGGGCGGCCGTTTGCGTGTCGTTGAACTTGTGCACGTAGCGCGCGAGGATGTCAACGAGCGGGTCCGTCAGGCCGGTGAGAATGATGCCCTTGATGTCGCCGGTGTCGATCGCAGCGGCCACTTCTTGATCGAGCCAGGCGGTGAGGGCGTCGTCGCTGAAGTAGCGGACGGCAACGAAGCAACGGTCGCGTAGAGGTAGGGATTTCTGATCGGCGATCTCGGCCCAGTTTCCGGTTGCAATGATGGCCGATATGGCGCGCAGGTAAGGGTCCGTCTTACAAGCCACGCTTTCGTCGAAGTCCAGTGCTGTTTTGACGTCGTCGCCGTTCTTGTCGATCAGTTGGAGTGCTAGGGAGACGAACAGCAGCTCCGGGTTCTCGGAGCTGGCCTTCTTCAACACCTGTACAGCCCGCTTTACCTCTCCTCTGAAGACGGCATGGGCGGCGACCATAGTGTACCACGTCGACTCTCTTCCGGGACCCGACATGGACATTGCTTGCTTGAATTCTTCATCGTAGGGGCGGCCGAGGCCGCATATCTCGAGACACATCTCTCTGTGATGCAAACGTTTGGTCTCTACTGTTCCGTCAAACTTGGGTACCCCAAGTTTCTTGTTTATCGCGTTCAGGCAACGCTCCCACCCGACCTCGTCAGGGGGTAACGAGTCTTCCGACAGCCTCATCTGAGGCTTACTCCCTGTTTGACGTTAGATGCGAAACCAGGGGAAGACGAGACTACCCACCCAGATCATTGGTCCAGACGCTGTGGACGCCCATATAACCAAGGTCTAGAGGATGCGATATCATCCCGCCGTCAGCGGCCGCCGCTTCGGCGCCTGTTGCAAAGTGGTGAGCACCTGGAAATCAACGGTGAAGCGCCCGTGTACTCACCAGCAGCCCAGGCCCAAACATCCATCAACCAAGGGTCATCGGCAACAATCTTCTGATTCTTGACGAAGTCAAAACGGTAGCCCTCTTGGGCGCGGAGAAGCATCGTATGATCAAGAGCAAACCGTTCTTTGCTCGAGAGACCCGACATATCCCTAGTTTCAGTGAGGAGTTTCTCGTGCTGCTCCAACTGAGATAGGAGCGCTTCATCCGGCTGTTCTTTCCCTTGCTTCGAAGCCAACCTCAGAGCCTTGAGCTTGTCGGCGATTGGAGATGCATCCTCAAACAATAATGAGGGGCTGCTCTTAGATTCCTCCGTAACGAGACGTCCATCGGGCGGTACGTTTGTCAGACTCTGTTCTACGAGAGACTTGACGTTCGCCTTTTGGGGCCCAAACAACGGTATGTCGGAGAGGGCCTGTTCAGTCAAGAAGGGGCCAAAGATGTCAAGTGCGTGCGGCGACTCGAAGTTCATCAGCTCCTGGTAATCGGTCCCATCTGTAGAGCCGTTAGCATTATCCATTGTCAGGGGAACTCCATGACATACCGGCTTGTCCCCGATGTGGTGGCTGCCATGGTATTAGCTGGAAGGGGTGCTCTGAAGTAAAGGAGGGCTTTTGCAGCACATCAAGTGCGCCATTCGCCCTAAGCACCAAGGCCCGGGGCTGAAGAACGGGCGAGCTCAGGGTGATCCAGTCGAACGAGATGATCTTGTCATTTTTGCGGTTGGCTTCGGCGTAGAGAGGGTCCAGCTCGTATGACCGTCTGACCTCGAGAAGCTCGGGACTGCCGTCTACCTTGACATCCTCTTCGAAGTACTCCTGTCGCGTCGACAAGACCCTCAGCTGGCCAGTCCGAGAGAGCACACCAAGCAAGCCCGCTTGGTCACGGCAAAAGCGGAGGGCACGGATGAAGGAGTCCCCACTATCGGAAGGATTTATTTCGTTCTGCACCGCGCGGTCAAGCCACAAAGCCCCGCCCCACGGAAGGCCGTCCTGTTCAAGGGCATTCGTGTAGGACTGGTTGGCGTTGTGTCGACTAGTGGCTCGGCGATCCCAGATCATGACACCGGGGATGTCGAGGGCAGAAGATGCAAAGTAGTTTTGGTCAGCATAGTCGATGGCCAGGTTGTTGCAGCATTTGGTTTGAAACTGGGCGACTGGACCCTGTCCTTGGTCTAAGTTGATGCAATGGTTGGTCAGTCAAGAGGTCCGGTTTCGCCGTCAACAGCAGCTTTACCTCGTAGATCATGGATTCGCAAGCCCTGGCCTTTGACAGCTGCCACTAGCACGTTCGGGTTGTCCTCAAAAAACCTGACACTTGACACCGAGGCATTCAATTCCAGTCTCTCTACCGGGTCCGAAGGAATCCTGACGTCCGCGGGGAAGCCAGAGACAGTAGCATCGATAGCTGAAAGACGGTTGACGTCCCAAATATGTAGGCAGGTGTCGCTCCTGACCCGATCGAGTGCAACGGCCAGTTTCCCGGCTGTACTGAAAGCCACGGCCTGGCAAGTGCGCGACATCTTCAGGCCGAGCTCCAGATAGGCATTGGAGTTGTCATCGATCCGCAACAGATTAACCACGCCGGTCGATGTACCCACGGCAACCAGGCCTGGCACAGTCGGTGACCAGTCATACGTGGTAAGAGGCGGGAGGTCATCGTGTTTTGTGAGTTTCCTGTGCTCGAACCGTCCTCGCTGGGCTATGCCTGTTGGTTCATAGAGCTGCACCACACGATGCTGCAAGTTGATATGTATAAACGAATCTCGGTTTGCACTGGGCGACCACTTGATTAAGCCCGAGTCGGATCGATCCATTGCGGCGACAGTCAAGACTGGATAGTGATGAATCGCTGATGGTCACTGGCGAGTTGCGAATTATGCGATGGATGAGGAGATGAGACCGGAGTGGTTCTGAGGCTGGAGGATTGCAGAGAGAAACGAGTGCTGTTTCTCTAGATTCAATCCGTCCTCAATTGCTCACTTGTGTTTGATGTTGCTGTTTTCACCATGTAACAACATAAAGGTGAATTTGGTTGTCTAAGTTCACGAAGCATGCTTGGTCGACCTGGCGCATCCAAGAGCTTGGGAGCTTCCCAAATTGGTAGGTTAACCCTAACCCCTCATTCCCGCTCGCGGCAGGCAATGCATGAGGGGCCCAAAATTTCTGGCTTGGTGGGATTGATTGGATCCGTGAACGCCAACTCTCGAATCGCTCAAGGCACGCCCGAACATCAAACAACTGTTTTCTGACGCGCAGCATTGAGTGGGAAAAAAAGAAAATGGGAAATAAACGACCACATCAAGACACCGAGTCTTCGGGCCACGGCTTTGAGAACGCCGCGAGAAAGCGACTAAGAACCAACCGCCCGCATAAACCAAAGCCTGCGGCCGTCGACCTTGACAGCCTCAGTGCGATCAAGAAGCGTGCTAGGGCGATCGAGAGACTACTCACGCGGGACAACTTGAAGATTCCGGCAAACAAACAGGGCGACCTTGAGCGAGAATTGGCGGCACACAAGCGGCGCATTGAAGATGCGCGGATGAAGAAGGATAGAAGCCACATGATACACAAGTACCACATGGTTCGGTTTTTTGGTATGCCCCCGGTCTTCCCCCCTACTGCCCATATGCCGCTCCTAACCCCGCCCACCAGAAAGGAAAAAGGCAATGCGATTTGCCAAGCAGCTCGAAAAGAAGGTTGCGCAAGCGACGGACCCCGAGGAAGTTGCCCAGCTCAAAGCCGACCTTCATGTTGCGCAGGTCGACATCGACTACGCGATATACTTTCCCTTCATGGAGCCCTACATCAGCCTGTACGCTGCGGCCGCAGCGGGAGAGAAGGAGGAGATAAACAAGGCGGTGTTATATCTGCGTACGCCGCGGCCGCCCATGTGGACTGTTGTTGAGAAGACGAGGGAGGACGGCCAGGCAGCGCTCGAGAGGTTGCAGAATAGGCGGCCGCAGACGGATTCGAGTTTGGAGGCTACCCAGCAACCAGTACAGGACGATGTCGCAGGGAAACAACACTCGGCAAAGAAGGGGAGAAAGGGAGCCCAACAGCCCGGTGCGAAGACGTCAAAACCAGAGCCAAACCAGAAGAAGGGGCAGGCTAGGAAGCCGAAAGACAAGGAAGAGGAGAGCGATGATGGTGGTTTCTTCGAAGAGGATTAACGGCGGTTTCTGCGAGCATGGCAAGAGGGGCCCAGCAAGGTGGATTGTCTCTAGTCTTTACTAGTGTTGTCAAGCGACTGGCCTGAATTCTGATACCCATTACCGAGAAGAGAGAATTATCGAATGTTTTTCTACCCCTTCTCACGTATCACACGAAGCTACGCGTGATTAATTTGAGTTAGAAGCACGGAATTGAAGTTCGGTTCGACTTGTGAGCCAAGTAGCGAGTGCCGTTAGTACAAGCATGTAAGTACATGGATGTTGATGTCAACTTGATTCGCTACCTACCTAGTACTATGATACCGTCCAACAGTTTTCCGCGTACTTCTCTAGTTCTTGAACGCTCAAGATAAAGTCACCCTCTCCAGGGCCCGCACTTCGAAGAAACAAGAGGCTGAACCCTAATACCAATGCACCAGTAACATTATATGATACCGGGTTGGTCGTGGTATTCTCAGTGATCGAAATAGTTTGCCGGAGCACCGGCTGAAGGGTGGCACTATGGCGTGTTGTCATCGCTCCCGGGCGAGTACTGTGAGGCTCTTCCTCCCACTTCTCCAGGGTAATGGCGCGGCGGGTATGTTCAAATTTGGCGAGAAGGATAATCTTGACCTGGTGATCTGACGCAGAAAACCACCATCTCATCTGGTAACGTAATTCTGCTAATGGATAAGATTCTCCTGCTTCGACGACCAGTGTTGGCCAGATGGGTCTTATCGCAACTCGGGATTTTGGGCCGCCCGTAGAGTCACCCTCCCCATAAACTCCACCATGGCCTCGTGCTCGACGTGTAGGGGAACCCATCGATACCCAACTTTCTTCTCGGCCGCTTCTGACAAGTTGATCCCTGTATCCTTGATCGAGTTCGATATGGAGTGCTTCATGTAAATCGTTGGCGGTCGTGATGAGAAGAATCCCGCGATCGCTATCGTAGCGGCGGAAACGAAATCTGCGCCGTCTCTTCTCTCGCTCACGCTCGATTTTGGCGAAATGAGTAGGCGAGACGTCTGGTATAAATTTGGTCTACTGCTAGCATAAGAGAAGAGGGTAATACCATACGTGTAACGACGAAGCAATCTCCAGTGTTGCCATTAATTGCGTCGAAGAGATCCTGCACATTGGTGAACCGGATAGTTGGTACATCATCGCCTTGGTTTGACCGTGGCGCAGTGGACACAAGTAAGGCCGATGCCGATATCGACGGAGATGCCGCCGACTTCAATTCCGTTGACATCATGGTGGAAGTAAAAATACTCTGTAAGTGGGAGAAACAAACCGGGGTGCGTAGAGGCTGTTAGAGGGTACAAATCATCGGCTCGCATACAAGCTTTGGGCCGACGAAAATACCAGGCGCGTGCTATGTACCGAGGTATGTAATAGAAGAGAGATGTGGGCGAAGTTGTGGTGGAAGAGGATGGTGATAAATGGAGTGGGGTTGGGACAGGGGGGATGACTTGGATTTGCAAGAATAGTGATAGTTCAGATGAGAACTTCAGATGAAAAAGATATAAATGGGAAAGCGTGGGGTTTTTTTTATTCAAATAAGGTATATCCACGAATTCAAGTTTGCGAATCGAATCAGATGAACATCTGAGCTGTGAACCAAAAAGCAGATCTAGGCCGCCGTGGTAGGCCTCACTCACACTTTCATAAACGAAGAAACTCAAGCGAGTTCGACTCAACCTTCCCGCCACTTCCACCCAACAAGAAAATTAGAAGTCGGGTATCCTCACAAACAAAAACATGGCTGCCAATACTACGCAGATCACGTCGTCGATACTGGACCAACCCGTTGACTATCGCGACCTGAAAGAATGGATCGAGGAGCAGGAGCGAAACCCGAAACCACTCACGCCGCATCAGCAGCGGGCCATCTCCGACCTCAGACGCTCTATTGAGCCCGACATTGGCGTCCGCGATTGGGTCAGCCTAATGAATCGTACTTCAAATATCCACCCCTAATCACTCCTGGCAACCCTCACTAACAACTCACCACCAGGATACACCCAAGCCCACGGCGGCACCCCCGCCTTCATCGACGAGCCGGCTCCGGATGAGCGATGGACTTACCGCTGTATCTTCAAGCCGACCGCCGACACCGAGCAAATGTCCTTCCCCAACCCCGAAGCGGGCTTCACCCCCAACGAGCACGGCGTGCCGGCAGCCCCCAGCTTCGGCCGCAAGAAGGACGCCAAGCAGTACGCAGCCAAGTGCTGCGTCGAGTGGCTCATGAAGGGCGGCTACATGCCATCAAACGGCACCGACGTCGAGTTCCCCAAGCCGCCCAAGACGTCCCGGCACGCCAGCAACACGCCGACGCCCGCCCCAGCCGCGAAGAAACCCCGGGGAGACAACAACAACAACAACAACCACCCCGATGCCCCCCCCAACCGCCCCAAGAAACGAGCCGCCAACAGCGACAACGACGATGAGGACGACGAGGACGACGACCCGCCGGCCACCAAGCGGGTCGCCACCCTCTGCCAGCTCCTCGGCCTCGCCATCCCGCAGTACAAGATCACGCCAGCCGTCCTCCTCCCCACCCCGCACCTCTCCGACACCGACCCCTCCTCCCCCTCCACCATAGCCGCCGCCCCCCTCACGCCCTCGAACCCGCAATTCTTCGACGGCTGCGCCGACTTTGGCGCCGACGCCATCAAGGTGCCGGAGGGGCTGGGGCGGGTGAGCAGCGTGTATGGGCGGCGCAACGCGCGCGAGAAGGTCGCCGAGGAGGTGCTGGCGTGGTTGGTGGCAGAGGAGGGGCGGCGGATGGCCGAGGTCGAGGAGATGATGGCGCAGGTGGGGGAGTCACCTACCGAGGTAGGTAGTTAGAAAAGGGAGGGGGTGGGAGTTAGGGTTCGGGATGAGGATATCGGGATGGGGTTGGGGGTCATGGTTATGGTTCGCGGTGCGTTTTGCGGGTGGCGATTTATTGCTGGGGGATATGATTGCCATCTAGGACATAGCCAGATGGGTTTCGGGATCTTGCTTGGACGTAGTGGTCCACAAGTCAAGGGCTGACGGGACGATACATTCGAGGTTGGATGGACAACCGGATATCGCGAGTTGATAATGGTGATTTAGAAAACGCTATATATAGCCTCTTACGATTTCGAGAAACCGATTTCATCACCTGGCCAAATCTTACGTCTGACACGCTCACTTCCCCCGGCCCCTACCACCTCCTCCCCTCCTCCCACCACCACCACTACCACTACCCCCTTTCCCATACGGCGTCTTCACCTGAAGATTCTCCGGCAAGTCGGCAACCTTCACGCCATCCGTCCAGAGCAGTCCCACACCCTGTTTCCTCCCGGCCACCTCCTTAAAATACTTCAGCGGCACCAGCCCGTTGACATCGCCCTCGGTCAGCACCACCCCGTTTTCACTTATCCACCACTTGATCCCGCCATCCTTCAAACTGGCCGCCACATCGACATAAATTAGCACCTCCGCATCCCTGCGCATCCCGCTGACCACGCCGGCCTCCGAGTCCTCCGGCAGCCCGGTGCTAAAGTGCACGTGATTCCGCCCCATGGGCTTGAGCCCGCCGCTGGCGACAATGGACGGCCAAAAGGCAAAGTAGGTGCCGTGGATGACGGCGGGTGGGATGGCGACGGCGCCCTCGGGGAGGGCGGCGGTGCCGTCCTTGTCGTCGGCCGGCAGGGCGAGGGCCTTGAGAAGGTGCTCGCTGTCCAGCTTGATGGAGTGGCCTTGGTTGGCCCGGATGAGCCACTCGGACGGGTTGGTGGAGGACTCGTCGAGGTCTGGGTTGGTGGCCGGGTTGGGCTTGATGGTGAAGCGCTTCTTGTCGTTGTTGTGGACGGCGTTGAGGATCTCTGAAAATGTGGGAGCGAGGGCGCGGATAGGGCCCCATTGAATCTGGAAGAGGTTTGTTAGTTACCGTATACCGTAGGGAAGAGCCACACCCTCCTCCTGGGGTGCGGCCTCGCAACGCCGCCACTTCATCACACACCCCCTCCTAACCCACCCAACCCAACCCAAAAACAAAACAGAAAAACAAACAAACAAAAACACTCACCACCCTCCCCAAATCCGCAAACCCCTCCCTATCCAACTCGACCCCCGCATCCCCCGCCCGATGCCTCAACAGCCTCGACAGCGCCCTCGACAAATCCACCTCGCGCTGCGCCCTCCCCCCTTCACCACCACCACCCCCTCTGCCACCTCCTCTCCCACCCCTACCGCCCCTTCCCTTCCCACCCCCTCGCCTCCCGCCGCCCGAGGCTCGGGTCGACGACAGGGCGAGGTCCTCGAGGCGGTCGGCTAGAGCGTCGGGATCTGTGGGATCCATTGCTGCGGGTTTTGTGTTTGGTGGGGTTGTGGGTTTTTGGTTGAGTTTGATTTTGCGCTTGAGGTGAGTGAGCTGAGATTTGGAGAGGTGTTTCGCTGCTGGGGCTGTGGTTGTGGATAAGAATTTGGTGGATGTGAATGTGATGGGAGTGTGGGTGGCGAGTGCGGTTGCTGTTGCTGTTGCTGTTGGGAAAAGGCGGGGCGGCGTTAAAAGGCGTTTTTGCATGAGTATATGGAATGGAAAGGATGGGGTGAATGGGCAGAGCAAGCTGAAATGGTGCTTACTTTTGGGAGGTTGTTTGTTAGGCGGAAGTAGATCTTGAAATTCAAGGTGGGGTTACAAGTTCAAGACGTTGCTCGAGGCTATTCTTCGGTTTAATCACGAGGAGGCTAGAGCGCGCTAGGAAAAGGCCATGAATCGCCTCTGGGAGAAAATGAATGATGTATTCTTTGACCCAAGACGTGATGACTTGAGCAGACCATGAGCGGGCCGCTTGTTCTCTTTTGTAACCGTTGAGAAGTCTCTGTGAACCCTAGCTAGGTCTGTGTTCCGGTGACTCATGCCGGACAACCCAACTTCAATTCAAGCAAAAAAGAGAACTCAAGGTCAAGGTGGACAAAAACGGAAACTCGTCATCATTGTACAATCAGTCAACAATTAGATACAGCCCTTCAACTCCCAACCCTTCCCACGGTTGGCTGCCCTCCAGCTCACCCGTATTTGTGCCCACACGTCCGTTCCAACCCAAGGGTATCGACGACCGTCCAAATCCTGCCCGCCGCCAACACCAGACAGAAACGACTTGGAAGAGAGAGAGAAACACGAGCGCCCCTAGTTAATTAAGTCAAGACCGCCGAAACCACCCTCCGCACCGATGCAGAAGCAAAAACAACCAGACGACCAAAACGACTAAACACCGCAACCGACGCCCTTATAAAAATAACAATGGCGTAAAAAGTCGTCCTCCCTTTCCCTTTTTGTTCCCCCTCCCTCCAAAGCATAATCAAAACCCTCCATCTTGTCCATTAGCGTTTCGTTTCTGCGTAGGCAGTCGTCGAAACTAAGCCGCCATGCTCATGATCGATTCTAAGACGGCCGTCCGACCCTCTTGTCCAAAATCCTCCAACTAAACCAAGATGGAAATAAAGCAAAATGCATAAAAGTGCAACGATACTGATGATGCAGTGCTCAATGCAAAACAAAGTCGTCAAATGCGAGCGTCCCGTGTCCGATGATGCCAAGAAAAACACAGAAACGCCATGCCGCCCGTCTGCAACATGCATATATCGGTATTGGTACAAGTCGTGAGCGTAAAAACATACGCCAAGTTCGTGATATGTCGTCGCGGCGCCATCTGCGTTTTCCCGCCGTTGTGTACTACTTGTTGCGGAATTCTATTATGATGGGTCTCCTTTAAGAGCGGAGACTGGGGATGCCGGTTTCGCGCGTCCGGCGGCCGAGGCTACCGCTCCTGTTGAGCACGATGCTGCTCTGGCTTAGGGAGGCCTGGCGCTGCTGCTGGCCTCTCTCTTCGGCGAGCCTCTCCGAGAGGTTGTTGATTGCACGCTCCTGATGTGTGCTGCGGTCGAGGTACGAGCCTCGGTCCTGGTAAGCGCCGCGTTCCTGAGGCGTGCCACGGTCCGGGAACGAGCTTCGTTCGAGGTACTTGCGTGCTGGGGTAGTTGGTGTCGAGGACGAGGGGATTGCGGCAGCGAGCCGGGTGGCGATGGCAGATGGGATCATCCTGCGACGTGGCAAGGCGGAAGGGGTGGCCGGGACCTCGGAGGGAGACTGATGATGATTCTGGACACTCATGGTGGACTCGCGAGGATTCATGCGGAAATTATTCATCTCGGTGACCGCCCTGGAGGGGCCGCGGGCGCGCGACTCGTCTTCCTCGTCGCCCATGGTTTTCCGGGTGCGAAGCAGGAGAGATGTTTTTCGCCCTTCGCGGTTCTCCTCGGGCTCTTCGGAGTCGTTCCTCCTGGACCTCAATAGCAACGATGACCTTCTTCCGGTTTGGGGCGCCTCTTCGGGCTCGTCGGTTGTTGTTCGGCGGATCCGGGACAGGAGGAGAGACGATTTCCGCCCGGCTGTAGACTCCAACGGCGTGGTAGGGCCCGTGGTGTAGCGGGAAGCGGGAAGTGAGATGCTGGCCAACATCGTCTTCCTCTTTTGTTCTAGAGATGTCGGGGCTCTCGGGCTCGTGCTTGCTTTTATCACCGTTTCCGCAACGGCGCTAGGCCGCCTGTGAGGTGCAACCACATCGAGAGAAGGACTGTTGTTGGTGGTGGGGCTGATGATTGCCCCTTGTTCGAGAGCGGCCGTCGCCGGTTGGGGTTCCTTCTTTCGCTCTGCCGGGTCAGCCAGCGCGAGGCACAGTTCAGTTAGACTCCTGCAAATGCTATCGGCCTTTTTACGCAGCTGCCTGTCCGTGACGCTGCCATTGTATCCCCCAATCGTACTCGCGCTGCTCGAAATCGGCCCTGGTTGGCCAATGGAGCCAATCAGTGATGTCAGGGCCATGGCATCGGTCGCCGCTGATTCGATGGCGGTGAACACGTCTGGCTTGACCAGATTCTTCGTTTTGCTGAGGGCGGATAGGAGCAGGGGTTGCGTCTCGCGCGGCGCCAGCGGAGTGCTGCCACTGTTGGCCTCTGCGTATGATGAGCCAGGTCCTGAACCACGCTTGGGGGAAGCGGACACGGTTGTGGCATTTGTCGTCGCAGTTCGAGGGCGCTCATCAGATGATCTAGACATACCTCCGCCAGACGTGGACGGCATTTTGCCCGTTCGTTCCAACCGATGGATTCTCGATTTCAGCTCGTCAAGCTCATCCCAAACCGTGGATGGCGCGGCCGTTGACGAAGAAGACTCAGTTCCCTCGACTCCGTGGTTCGTCTCCGAGCTATTCGGTTGAGGCCCATCAGGTAGAACATTTGCGGACTTGGGGACCAGTGGTGAGGAGTGGTATGTCCGAGCCTGAGTCATTACCAGGTTTGCGTTCCTGTATTGGGTCACTCTTGGGGATGAGCTGCTGCTGTTGTTTTCCGTGAGCGACTGCCTTCTGCGTTGATATGCCGAACTACTCTCCCCCAAGGAGTCTTTGAACGAGATTTGCCTGGGAGTAACGGGGGATGGCCTCATAGAACTCCGGCCGGGTTGCGAGCGGCTCGAGTTGTCAGCACTGGTAGTGATGGGAGGTAGGTTCTCTCTCCCGGGCGTGCGATATGACGATTCTCGCGTCAGTGGTTGGGCCGGGTGGTTATCAGCTGCTTGGTGAAATCGTGAACCATCGCGTTGGTCGGAAAGGCGACGCGACAACCCGGGAGGTGAAGGTGCATCGTAGGCAGGGGTAGATGTTGAGAATGGCCGACGATGTGTCCTCGCAACTCGAGTCTGTAACTTGTTAGTGGACCTGGTCGGATGTTATGACCGGCTTATACAAATAACTTACAATAACATTCGGCTCCGCGGGAGCCGCTTGTTTCTCAGCTGCCCGGGGCGCCGGGTCTTCTCGCGCAATCTTCATAAAGATGTCTGCGGTATTATCGTTGTCGGTAGTCGTGGTCATTTCGCCGGAGTCAGAGGGGGCGGGGTGCGAGAAGTCTTCGTTATGTCGGCCTTCAAGGGTTCGTAATGCGCGGTCGCGCTGGTTGGGATCCAACGCGTCTTCGTTGTACGAGTCTTCCGAGGTGTGCCGGCCGGGCATGTCGAGCACGACGCTTTTGCGTGATTTAGAAGACCGGAAAGACCTGATAGGGGGAATAACGGCGCGCCCACTCGAAGTGGCGGCGGCGTCGGCCGTGGCGGGCGGGTTGTATGATATTGGGGGGCGCGACTTTTTGTCCTCCGACTTTGTGGCCCCGACGACCTTGCCCAACAGCAATGTCCGTTGCCCTTGCGCCGCCGCTTCTTTGACAGCGCTCTCTGTCAGGCGACGCTTGATTACTGGGATCGCGGTAAATGTGGGTTGCGATTGCGCCGCAGGCGTGTCGCCGGCGGTGGTTCTCTGTGGCTCCGGAAATGACGCTGGGCGCTTTGAGCCAGTGGACGAGCTGTTGGATGTCGTTTCGGTCGCTTGAATAGGGAATTTGAAGGAACGAGTCCTCGTGGCACCGTCGCTTTGCTTTGACTCGGAAGAGGCCGGTTTATCCGGGAGAGTTGGGGTGCTGCTCGAGTGGTGGAGGCTGTGATGCGACAATTCAGGGATGCGCCGGGTTGGATCTAGGGGATCAACAGCGACGGTTTGCGACAGGACAGGCGCGAGTGGGGTGGGCTGTTGGAGCGACGGTAGCGAAATGCGATCTTTCCTTAAATCGACAAAACGAAATGCCGGCAGTTTGGAGGAATTGTGATTTTGGCGATGCGCGTGCAAATTGCTGTTATCGCTTCGTGTGTTGGTGCTGGTGTTGGTGTTGTGCGATCCTCTGCTGTCGTGCGCCTCCAGGGGTTGAGGTTTGGTGCTGGAGTGATCCGAGGAGAGGGCCCAGGAACGGGCGGCGGGACTGGTCGATGTCATGTTTTTGGGCCTGAGGTGCCCTGTGCTTTTCGAGGCTCCACACCAACCGGCGCGCACACTCAATGCTGTGCCGGGCGTGTCAAAATGCGCGGTTCGGTTCCTGGTTTCAAATTCCAGTGCCGGGGTTTATGTCTCGGGAAGATGTTTCTTCAATGGCCAATCTTGGGGACTATTTGCATTTGTCGAGTTGTTATCGAGAAAGCGCATCAGCAACGACTCCAAACTTTGCCAGTCGACGTCAAGGGAAGCCGGCGTTGGTTGGGCGCGTTGGGAGCGGGCAGCTGCAGCAACGAACTAGAAGCGGTCTGACAGGTCCAGCAGACGCATGAATGCGTCGTATTAGAGCAGCGGACAACAAGCAACAAGCGTAATATCGTGAGAGTAAAGCAATCCTGGTGTGATTAATTGGCTGGTAAAGCGTAGCTGAAGTCTGAATTGTTTGTATGAGAAGAACATAGAGAGATATTGTGAAGGCGGGGAGAAACATGCAATCAGTTGTGGTGCTCTCGTGGATGACTGTTGAATGCGTGGGCGATGCTTAGTGGCCATGCGCCAACTGTAAATTACGGAAAAGCAGCCCCACAACCTGCACAATCTGAAATGCAGTGTAACTCTAGTAACATTTTGTACAACTCATCAGTGTCCAAGCACAGGTGTCAAAAGTCAGGTAGAATACAGAGGACGAACGCCCTCCATACAGGCGTTCTTGCGGAAGGTGAAGGAACATGGAAAGCTTTTCGGTATGACAAACGCTGGTATAGGGATACTGTGCCTCATTGTGGTTCGACACTGTTGACCAAAACCCGCTACACTTCGGCTCACAGAATCCCCGCTAGGTACACTCGGGCCTGAGAATGAGCACGGAATCTTCTTTTTTTTTTGAGAAAAAAATAATCACATAACAGTAAATTAACTAGCCACCATTGTGGAGGATCAAAACCAAGGAATTAAAAATGACGTGGAAACGGAAGAGGCCCTCGGAAAGGGGCCAGACAAGAAAAATTGTGTGTTCTTCAAGGTGGGGCCGGAGCAGCCCGTCACGTACGAATACACAAGTATGTAAGAATTTGTATGGATATCGAGCATGAATTACCACATGCAAAAAACATCGCGCTAGGACGAATTAAACCAAGGTTGGGATGCATCCGATCTTCCTTTTCCCTTTTTGGGCATGGACAATAATACGAAGCAGAGACGTCGTTCGTTGCTTAGGCGTAGCAAATCCCACCACGCCTCATAAGTTTACTTCCTGAGTATCTGTGCCATGATAAAACGGCGGGCCCGCGCTCTTCGGCACAGCCAGGCTTTGTGAGGCCAAAGCGCAATTCCATCACCGGCATGCCGACCAAAAAGGGACATGCAGTCGCAAACCACCTGATGTCACATCACACCCCGCAATCCTCCGCACCTCCACGGGGTAGGAGGTGCAGGAGGCGGCGCAACTGCCAGTGCCAGCCCTGGGAAGCAAGAGAGAGTTGGCGAGCGAGTTGAAACGCCGGTTGAGAAAGAAAGAAAAAGGAGAAAAAAGATCCCTCGCCATGGTAACATTGACCGTGGAGAATTTTTGTCTCTTTTATTTCGCTACGTGCAAAGCCCTGGCTCCAAACCCTGTCTGTGGTGGGAATGAAGGAGTTGGCGAACCAGGGTGTCGCGTTTTCTTGTGCGAGGGCTGATGCGCTCTGTCTGAGGGCCTTGCACTGATCCTGGGGGTCTGGGTCCGAGAGGGCATTGGCGAATCATGTCCGTCAATATCCAACATGGAAAGTTCGATGCGCACATGCATTGTGGACAGAAAGAAGCAACGCAAGCGAGACTTCGAGACCTCGAGGATCAGGAAGGCGTTGGCATTAACCACAAGCCGCAAAAGGCGTAGTTGGTTGGCATATATTCGTACGAAGTGAAGTGTACATATAACTCCAGCGTTAACACAAACAGAACGCAGGGGCTTGTGCAGATACCCACTGGCAAACCGCAGAAGACATTTGATCTGTCGCGGAGCTGCCGACGGCTGGGGCCGTGATCTTCGTGCTTCGACAACTAGCGCATAGTTATTTCGTAATGGTGCCAGCTATCCGAGATGGTAAGGTTCTTCGCGCATATACTCACTCGTAAAAAGCTCCGATGTGTCCGCCTCGCTGGAACTGATCGTCGTGAATGTCTCGGGATCATCACCTTCTTTTTGAGGAGACATCTTGGGGTCTTTCTTTCGGTTGATTTATGTCCATAGCTGCGTCTCGCATTCGCCTTTGTACATGACAATGGCTTGCAGAACCGTCGGGAAGTGCGCTGCAATGTCACGTTTAGACGAGATAGGCTTGGTCAGTTGAGGTCGGGTTGGGGTTCCTGTAGTAACTGGGGAAACCACGGGGATGAGATGATACCTGGGAGTACTAACTATGAAAATATCAACAAGTTCATTATCAGGAACCCCGCCCCTCTTGCACAACGCTTGAGATGCTTCAAGTGTGCTCGCCGCTTTGCGGAAGGCGCCGTCTCGAGCCGGGATAGCTCAGCCTTGAACCGGGGCCACATGCCAGCGGAGATGGAAGAATTTAGTTATACTTGTATGTCTCGCGGACTGCCTGAGAAGCAAATCCTAAGATAGGGAGCCGCCTAATAAATAAATGGTCGATTTTAGCCATCAGATGCTGGCTCAAGGCCACTCCACGAGGATTTAGTCGCAAATAGATGAGAGCGGGTGGGCTCATTGAACATGCGGGCGGAGAGCCTCCGTAAGGCTTCATCAAAATCTTGCCAGCATCAGGGGAATCGCCGGTTCTCGTGGACGGGGTTCCATAAAGGCTATTTAGAGCGCACGCTTCGAAAGGTATCCAATGGGATGGGCACGAGGCCCTTCCGCGATGCTTTGGACCATCGGGGTTGGGGCTGCAAGGACGGGCGGATCCCACAGCGTGTCCGGTACTATTCGTTGCTCGCGAACAGGTCGTTCGGAGTCAATGATCGGGAAAGAAAGAATCGGCCTGATGGACCTTGATGTCATCGCTGACGGAGGCGAGTGGCTCTGGAGTTTCGATGTGCGGCTCTGCGCTTGGCACCCACACTTCGGGTTTCCTTTTCGTTCGAAGTGATGGATGGGACGGGATGGAACTCGCTTGCAACCGGAGCCGAAGGAGAGAGACCCACCAGCAAAACAAGCGAGATTTCACAGTGGTGCAAGTGCACGTGTCATGTTCCCACAAAACGAACCTGGCTCGTTTCAGATTTTGCTGTCCAATTGTGTGAGAGAGCAACGTTGTCGGGGGAAACATGCAGTCCTGGGATCACAAACCCTGCGCGGGTATTTCAAGAATTAGCGGAGGTAAGACGGCCGAAAAGCGGTTGAATCGAGGCCCCAAGGCACGGAAACCAGACAGAATCTCGATCCGAGAAGAATTACATGGCTTTGTGCTTTGCTACTATGACGAAGTGTACCTTCGTTTGTGCCTGAGTTCTAATTATCAGGCTTAAAAAACAGGGGCACCACGTTTCTGATAGGGGCCCATCTGGAACGCGCTGGTTGTCCGTGACGACATGAATGGAGCCGGAGTTTCCATCAACAATCCTCTGTAGGATCCTGCCTCTCTCCGCGCCGAGATTGAGACCGGGGTATCTAGGGCCGTGTGGCACGGCTTGACCGCCGAAAGGACTTTGTAAGACACGGGAGGCTCCCGAGAAAGAATGGGATGGCGAGCAGTCTTTCTCATAAGCAGGTTGCTCAAGAATGGGTGTGGCTAACGGCGTGTCGCTGCGAGTTAATGGGCGTGGTTCCAACATCCCGGCCACTCTCCATCGGAGCGGCTGGCCAGCGCTAATTTGGGGCTCTCATGGATGTCGTTGCTCGACGACGGGCAGCCATGAACCCAGATCTGCGAGATCTGGCATAAGCGCCAAATGACGAAAGCCTCACGCGGGAAGTGGAATTGCAAGACCAAAAATGTGACCTAAATTTAAGAAGCTGTCGCGCGTGTTCTCGACGTTCAATCTGTGAACTGAGAACGGGTGGGCATCGCTTTCAATGTTTTGTTTTGTTGCTAAGCGACCCGGACAATGGAGAAAGATAACATCAGCAACAGCATCCACCGTGAAAGATCGTCTTCGACATGTCTTGAATGTCTTCCCTTGAGTCACAATCACCGATTGTCCTCATCGAAAGGAGCCAGCGAGGCTTCGAAGAGTTGCGGGGGGCAGGGACTCCCAGAAGCTGTGGTGGCTGATTGGCCAAAAGCACATAGAGCCGAGGCGCCCTTCCAATCAGCACTGCCGTATAATTTTGCTTTCGTGGGTCATGACGCCTATTTTTAGCATGGATTGTTTGAAAGCAAGCAATTCACAAAGGGGTTAGCCGCCGAGAGTCTGCACCAGGGAGTGGGGTGTCGGAGAATGTGTTGTCATTGGTCGATCTCTGCCCCCGCCCCTGCACGAAGCCTGGCGGAGGCAAGTTGGTCGCAGACCAGTGGCTCCCTCTCCCGAGGCACCCCATGCTTGTCGAGCACCGAGCCGGGGGTTTGAAGTGGGACTCTGCAGGCCGAGCCTGCATGTTGTTCTGCCCGCCCAGGCTTGCCGTCCCCCAATTTCGCCCATTTTTGGGCCTGGAGAGCTGCACCCCTTCAGCGCTTGTGGTCCTGCCTCTGTCTCTTTTTGGTTCTGCCTCCCTCTGCCTCTCTGCGTCTCTGCATCTCTGGGTTTTTGGGTTTCCATCGGCTCTGCCACTGCCACTCGCCCATCCCCGAAGGTCCAGTGCAGGTGGTTCTTTCGATTCGCGCCCACCGATCCTTGCAACCTGGTACTTCCTGGCGAGCCAATTCTTCTCTTCATTTTCACTCCTCCCACATTCCTTCTTCTCCTTCCTCCCACCTCTTTCCTTCCCTCGAATCGATATATCGAAAAGGGTTCGACCGGAACGCAACACGAAAGTCCGGAAGGGAACGTGGCATCGGCCGAGAACCAGACTCGGTTGTCGAGAGTCGAGACAAAGGGACCCCGCTGTTTGACCCGCCAATTCTCAAGTTCACAAACACCCTCTCAACTCCTCAACTCCTCAACTCCTGTCCCACCTCGTCCCCTCTCCCCGACTAAACCGGACGACTAGGCCATGTATTAACGCCTACGCCGCTTGGTCGCCGGCCCCTTCACCTTCGTTCCTTATTTTTGTTGATCCTTTCATCCAACGTGGAAACCCCCGCTCGGCTGCGCCGCAGTCCCTCCGCGCATCGTCCTCCGAGACCATCTTGTCCCCCCAGCCGCCGCTCGGCGCACAGCCGTCTCAGATTCCCGCCCAAGAGATTGTTGTTTCCCCGACCGCGTCTCTGCGTCACCGCGTTTGTATCTGGGTTTCATTTTTTAACCCTGCTTTCTTGATCAACGCAAGAATTCATATCGAAGAAGGCCCGGGATATCTATTTGGGGGTTTCTTTTTCTCACTTTTGGTGGAAGACATCGACGGAGCACAGCTAGGATTCAGCAGCGCTGTCCCGCTTAGCCCGACTTTGTCCCCAGCGTCTTTTCGCAACGGACCCTCTACTTCACGTAAGCATCTTTCCCCGACCTTTTGCAGGGCGTCTAGACCAATCGATCTGATTAACCCTTGGCGACTATCAGACCGCGAGGCGGCCAAGAGACCCGGTGGCCGGCCCGTGACGAACAGGACGTGGCTGTGGCCCGATTGAAGTACGAGGAGGTCAGACCAGGTGTCTGCTCAGCCAGGAAATCACGACAACGGTTGCCTTGTCCGAGCCACTGAATATGCCTTCTACCGTGGCGCGACGGTTGTTCGAGGACCAAATACCCTCGATAATGTCAGTCTATGAGGTGGACAGCGGCATCACGGATTTGGACCAGTCAAACCCTGTCACGATTGTCGACCCCAAGATGGTCATGGAGGGCGCAAAGCTGGCCGGGAACCCACAGCCGGGGATGAGGCCTGGTGCCTTGCAGTCAGATTCCATCCACCGGCACAACGACAGCACATCGACACAAACAACCGAGTCGGCCGATTCCTCCCCCACGACCACGCTATCAATCGCAGATTCATCTGATCTCTCGGATCCATCCCCGTCTTCGTCTCCCGACTCGCCGATCAACCTCGCCCACCTTCCGAGCTTCGCGCCGACCCCCTTTGGAGGCCTGTCCAGCATGGCCAGGCTCACGGTCTCTGACCCAAACCGTGATCGGCCCATGACTTCACCTGGGCCCAGGCGGCTTAAGAACATGAAGGGCCTGTCCATCCAACCGCCCACGACCTCGTCGTCGTTGTTATCAGAGCCCTCCTCCCCCTCTTTCATCAAGCCCATGATTGCTCCTATGAAACGCAAGCCCAGTCAACTTAGCCTCAAGACCAACACCTCAGATCTCATCACCCACACGACACTCGAGGTTCCGAGTTCTCCAACCGTCGCTCCCATCCTGCAGCGCCGCGCCCTGAAGCACTCGGCGTCAACCCCGCAGATGCTCTCCGGCCTCCGGTCCGCGACATTTGGCCCCCCTGGGGGGATGACTATACCAACGGTGTTGGAACGGAATGAATCCGGCCTTTCTTCCTTCTTCCGCCCGTCACGACCGGTTGAGGGCCCTACAATGAGCTCGACCATCAGGGAAGAGGAATCGCCGATACGCCCGCAGGTCGCGAATCGCATCGCCTTCGATACCGAAGACTACCATGAGGTCGAGAACAACGAGGACCAAAAGTCACCTGGTTACCCAGATGGTCCGGTTGCCATCTACGGCGACAATGTTTACCTCTATCTCGAGCCGACTGCAGATGAGGCGGCTCGCTTCGACGTGGTCATCAATGTGGCTCGCGAAGTTGTCAACCCCTTCAAGTCTACCGCCGACGGCCACCAAACTCCGGGGGCCAAGGATACCCCCGACGAAGACTCGCCGATTCCCGAGACTGCGGCGACGACCGCCAGCTTCGCCACGGCATATGAGTATTTCCCAGAGGACAGCACCCCGACGACGCCGAAAGCGCAATCGTTCAAGGAACCCGAGTACATTCATATGCCTTGGGATCACAACACCGATATCTCGCCTGACCTCCTGAACTTGTGCGAAACCATCGACAAGCGTACCAAGGAAGGGAAGAAGGTGCTTGTTCATTGCCAGCAAGGCGCTAGCAGATCGGCGAGTCTGATTATCGCCTACGGTCTCTACCAAAATCCCGAACTCAGCGTCAACGACGCGTATTATGCGGCTCAGGGAAAGAGTCGGTGGATCAGCCCGAATATGAGGCTGATGTACTGCCTGCAGGACTTTCAGAAGCAGGTGGCCAAGCGGAGGCTAACGCCGAGCACTGGTTTGAAGCCGCGGCCGGGGAGGAGCCCTGCTCACCGAGCGACCATGTCTGTCGACAACATTGATGCGCCGACAAAGGAACCGCTTACCGCCCCTTTACCGGCCGATGACCCGGCACCGAGAGATACGGACACAGAGATGGGGCAAAGTCGGGCGCGAGGGAACTCGACCCCCAACCGAGGAGAACCGATCTCACCGGGCCCTTCGTCCGCTCCATCGAGCTTCTCGTGGTCAGAAAAGGAAGATGAGGCAGACCCGGGGAAGTTCGGCCGCTTCAACATCGATGCAATGCTTGCCCCTCAACCAGCCGACTCGGAGTTCCCTCCTCCATCCTTTTTAGTCTCGAGACCGCCGCCATCACCCGGGCTTGGCTCGTTTACATTGTCCAAGCCCCCGCCTTCCCCAGGCTTCGGTACTTTCACATTGTCTAAGCCGCCGCCATCCCCGGGATTCGGTGGTTTTAGTCATTCGAAACCCCCGCCGTCACTAGGCTTCGGCGCATTTAGTCAATCGAAATCGCCGCTGACACTAGGGCCTGGCACTTTCAACCAATCGCAACAACCCCCACCTTCACCTGGGTTCGGCGGCTTCACGCTGTCGAAGCCCCCACCGTCCCCCGGGTTTGGGAAGTTTACATTGGGAAAGCCCCCACCGTCGCCGAAGCTTGCCCCTCCGTCGATGTCGAGACCGCCGGCTCCTACTGGACTCGCGCCACTCGAGCTATCACGGCCGCCAATGTCACCTGGCTTTCCGCCGGCCGATCCTTTCTCGAAGCCGCCTCCTTCCCCTGGGTTTGGAGCTCATAGATTTGGATCGAAACCCGGCACCTTTGGATTCACGTCATTGAACATCGGCCCTCCGCCGAAGCCGATCGTCGAACAGGCGCCTCCGACTCCAGAGCGGTCTGTGGCAATCATGCCCAGCTTCCCGGAGGACGAGGCTCTCATGTCGCCGCGCGCGGAGACGATGACCAGCAATCCAATCCACCAATCCTTTTCCGAAATGACTGGGATGCAGTTCGTCGAGAGCCCGCCGACGCCGGGCGACAACATGTTTTCGCCGCGCGAAACCATGTTCCCGCGCGACCCTTACTTCCCGTTTGCGAGGCCGGTACAAGTCGCCGATCCCCGAAGCCCGCCGACCAAGGGCGAGACGCCGATTGTGCGGTCGATGGATGACATGCTATAGCACGCACCGCAACATCGACGTGCGCCACAACATACGTATATGCACACCCATTCAACACAGGAAACATCACCAGCACACAATGCATGCATGCTTTCTTTTGTTCCGGAGAGTCGGCCATCGTTTTCCGCAGTGCAACAGCCATGGCGGAGGCGCATGAGGGGGAGTTTGTGAAATCTGCCCGCATTTTTTTTTGTTTCTTGATTGTTGCCACCAACAGCGAGCCACAACGCGTTTTGGTTTTTCCTCTGTCGCCTAAACGAAATGTATAATACCAGAGAGGACGGGTATGATATGGGGGAAGTGAGAGGAGGAGGGGAACGAAAACATGCGGTGGGAAGGGGAGTTGTATGGGATGGAAACGATGGTATTTTCGGAGTCTCGCGGGAGGGGGGGGGCGAAGGGGATGGATGGAGGGGAGGTGTATTTGGTAATTCTTATTTTTTGGGTGGGAGGGATTTAGGTATTAGGCAGGCATTAGGATAGGACAAGGCGAGTACGCCG